CAAGCAAATCTGAGACAAGTTAGTTTCTTTGGCATTACGTCAGCATCATTTTGGTTTCTTAACGATTCAGTCAAGGGAATATTAATTAAATTATTATAATTCACACCGGTAAAGTTTACCGTGGTAGAAGTTTCCAATGTTTCGGGACTCAGTAATAAAAGTTGAACCATCCTATTTTGTCTCTCATCGAGAGACCCGTACAAAAACCCTCATTGTTAGTTTTTCTGTGATTGTTATGACTTTTGTTTTTGTCGGATGATCTTGATTGTTTACTCCCCTGTGTAGATACACAACTTTCCACTCTGTAAACCGTATTTGAACGGTTGAGCTCTGTTTGTCTCAAGTTAACTTTTTTACGGGTTTGTTTTGATTTCCTAATTGAGGTAATACGAACTGGAATACTTTGTTGTTGATTAGACTCATGTGGATAACAAGGTTCCTTAGGTAAAGAGCCACTCGGTTGATTTCCATTACACGTATTGTGACCAACATTAGTGTGGTACGGGTCATTAACGCTAGAAACAATGCTAATTTCTTCAGAGTCATCAACAATAAGGTTACTTATACTCATAACATGCATTTCATTGTTCACATGGGTGGTTTTAGGAGAGGGAATAAGGTTACTTATACTCATAACATGCATTTCATTATTCACATGGGTGGTTTTAGGAGAGGAAATATTAGCATGAATATTAATTGCGTTCTCAGCTTTTGCGTTCTCAGCTTTTGCCTTCTTCTCGAGATTTTCCAACTTAAAATTTAAGGTTTTCACCTCCTCAACAAGAAATTTATTTTGGCGTTCCAAACTAACGATAGTATCACTGTCTCGCTCATCGTTTGAGCTCTCTATATTCCCCACTCGATCTGCTAACATGTCACATTTACTCTGCAACTTAAGCAACTCTTGTTGTACATTATTGATAATTTCAGTGTTAGTGTTGGTTTTATGTTCCATCCTCGACTCAAGAACCACGTTATCTAGTTTTATTCCTTCGATATCAACAGTCAAATTGTTACATTTGCACGAACAGGAACTAACAAGATTAATTTTATCTGAATTCGGGAGATCTATGTTTATATTACCCGGCCGATCTGAGGGGCGAAACGAAGCGATATTCGTTAAAATTACAATAAATAGTTCAATTATCCTTTCGGCTTGATTACCTTCAACCAGAAGGAACTTTTTATTTTTCCACCAGGTGATAGATGTATCTGGATTACTGCAAACTTTCTTCTCTCCTCCGGGCGAAGTCCATCTCCCGTCAAATTTTATATAATCACTAACAACACGTTTTAAAGATTCGAAATCACCAGCCCAAGATAACTTCAGATTCTTCATAGCCAAGGCAGTTATTTCATCATTAATCGTTCGTGTAGAACTAAGATCTTTAGCCAAATCACTATTTGTGTCAGTGAGATGATTATTATCCGGTAAAAGCGTATTTATAACAGAGCTATACATTGCATGACCATCCGCCATTGATGTTTATAGATTATATACAGCGTAAGTTTTCTGATTTGTTTTAACAGGATCTTTTGGCTTTGCGAAAATATGGCCTAAAGTCAAATAGGGTTTTAAGGCAACCTTAATGTTACAATTACTTAAGATTCTCTTGATTGGATCTGTGACACCTTGAATTTATGGAACTATTGCATAACCCTTAACAGAGACATCACCCTCGGATATATTGTTTGGAAAAACACATTAGGAATTAATCAAATTATTCACAAAGGTAGAAAAAGTTGACTTCGGCCGGCAATTTTTAATCGGCTTTATTTTGTTAATTTTTGCTTGGCAAATCCGAATCTAAATCAACATGAAAACTTAATTCCTTGCACTCAATGTCCAGACACCATTGTCAATTTCACTCAGGCAGTCAAAACTTTGGGCATACAACGGCAGTTGTGTGACCACGTGCTTCTTTCATGGACGGTAGGTCTTTCCAACTTTTCTCGCTGACGTCATAACGTTCCACTGATCTGGTTGCTCCTTTATTACCGTAGCCGCCTATCACAAGAATGAGGTCACCGGAGATAATAGCTGAGGAACCTCTCCTTGCATGATTCATGGAGGGAAGCATGCTATACTTTCCTGATTTTATGTCGAACATGATCACTTCTTTTAAAGGAATGTCGTTTCCTTTTTCCCCTCCAATCAGAATCACCTTTGGGAAAACAAAACAGAAACAACAATTATAAATTTTTACAGTGAAGAGGGAAAGACCGAAAAGGGGTGACCTCTCGGGACAGAAGAGAACTTTAGATTTGGCACGTGTGCGGCTCAGTGAACTCTATAAATACTGGAACATTAACTCCAGGAGCTGCGGGAGCTGAAGAATTACTAAGGTTTTCCGATCGACGTTGTTCAATTTTTGCACATGAATGAGAATTTTTATAGTTGTAAATATACCCTACTTAAAAAGCTAAATACTAAATGAAAAGGTAAGATTAATATAGAACTGCAGTCCATATTATTATTATTATTTTTATTATTTGGTGTTTAATGACACGTTTTCGCATAAAAAATGAATTACAATGTGTTTACTTTCAAGGTCACATTTAGCTAATAGTTACATTTACATGGTAAAATAGCTTAAGAATAACGATAATAGTTAAAATATAAATTATTCAACCATTTAATCTAAGGTAGGTTCCTTCCTCTATTTCGTGGCATTCACTTCAGCAATTGCTCTTGGAAGAAACTGTTTTTAAAACGTTCAGTTCTACACTTATACAGTGACAGATTATTTAAGTTTCTAATATAATATTGTTGGGCACAAGCTCTAAACTATGTCACGTGTTCAGCTTGAAATTAGTTCAAATGCCTCTTAGATAGTCCAGAAAAATAAAAATTTGCTAGTGTTTCTCCGCCGTTTTTCCACTCGTCAGATAACTTTGCTTTTTACAAATGAAATGTTTCTAAAATTTACTTTAGTATTCTGAAAGACCATGTACTCTAGTTTCTTAGAGCAATAGTGATTCGTAAAGCCGGACTTAATAAATAGTCGGCTGAGATATGAAAATTCTACAAGAATGAAGCCGCCGTTTTTTCGTTCTAGGGTTCGAAAATGTATGACCCCTCGTTTTTTCAACCCCCTCCCTCCTGCTAATTTGCGCGATAAGTTCTTATGATCCAGTTAAATTTGCTCAACTGTGATGGGTATAGCAGTTTCCTGGATTTTAACAGTTGATAAGTACTGAAAAACAAACATTTTATTTAGAATCACCTTGTTTTCCCACTGTACTGTGGAGACATATCGAAGAGGGTAGGGTAATTTTGATACCACTTTGCATTCGTTCTTAACTGGGTCATATTCCATGACATCATCGTAGAGGAGACCATCTTTTTTTCCTCCAAAAAGGAATATTTTGTTGTCTATCATCTCTGTTCCATGGTAACCTATCGGTTTCGGAAGCTTGCACAGTAGTTTTGATGAATAGGGTGCGCTTAGGAGAACCTCGTAGATTTCATCAGAATATGCACCTGCAAAATGAGTTATTTGGCTTCTATTAATTAAAGCAACATTATGGTAAATTAATTAATATACTATAATATCTATGTTTGAGAATACATACCTTTGCTGGCATTGTAACCACCGATCACAATCAACTTTCCTTGATAGACAATACTTGAATGACCAAGCGAACAAAATGGCAACACTGCTTTGGATTTGATCCATTGTAAAGGGCGCTGACCAAAATCCAGTGTCTCAATACTGTCTGTAGCTCCGCCAATGACAATAATCTGAGTGCCAATAACGACGGACGTGGCATGGGACCTTGGGGCAGTCATAGCGGCAAGAGCAACCCATATTGTATCACTCTGCCCTAACTGGAGTTTTTCAACAGAAGCAAGTGTAGTATCCCGTTTTCCACTGCCTCCGATTACGATGATCTCTTCTGGGCCGCTTGTAGATTGAGATGTCGATGTTCTGGATCTTTTTCGCGAAGTGGCCTGTTCCAAAAATAAAGCACATCAAAAACGCATTATTTCTACTTGATCTAGGTCATCATTTATTGGTCTAGAGCTAGAACAGCGAGAAAAATGAACTGAACCAACTTTATTTAGACTGGAACCTATTCTTTCGTGAGGTACAGTTGTGATGCGAACGTCTCTTATTGGTCAAAGTGAGTACAAGGGGGAAACCTAGGCAGATCCAACTTTTTATGACTAATAACTGAAAAATTTGCAAACTTTTTTTCAAACTTAACCGTCTTGAAATATTTTGTATATAAAAAAAATTTATGTGGCTTATACAATACGATCGGACGGTGATGGGAATCAAGGAATTTATTTTATGTTGCTTTTTCGTACGTTTCACTGGATACAATCGTATACGTCCTTACTCCTATTTCTTAACCCTCAACCTATGTCGTCTATAATCACTATAATAACTCCTTCGCGTGCATGTAAGATATATTACTTACAGATCCTCTTATCTCGTCAATGATTTCCTGTTTCAAATTTTTCATGTTGTCTTCCATCCTTTGTTGGTTTGCTTTTACTTCTTCCAGTTTTTTGTCCATTTCTTTCATCAATTCCCCATATTTTTTCACGTCCAAGACTTTCTGGCCATTCAAACCACGCCTACAATATAAGTAACGACTGTAGTAGTGATTGCTTTTATGGAGGCAGAGCAAGCTCGCTTTGACAGGGTGTATAAAAAAGTAATCGAAATTTGGCATGTTATTTTGCATTGGGTAAACAGGGAGATTTTTGAGGACAAGGTTTGGTGAGCATCGGCGTGCTGTCATTGGCAACGATGCTAATCAGTCTGTTGTCACCGATTTTAATAGTGGCAATTACAGCATTTCAGATATGAAAATTCGAGCCCCCTGTCCCATTTCTGTATAAGCACGATAGCCGCAATGCGCCCCATTTCCAAACTTAGCACTGTCCACCCCTATGGCATTAATGAACGTTTTTCCTATGTTTAGCTCGATCTGTCTTTGCCTGTCAAAAGCAGATATTGACAGTACTTTACATTTTCACCTTATGCCATATTTGTTTCATATAATTTATTTGTTGTAATTTTCACTTTTCAACAATATATTCTGTAATGGGATTTTGATTTTTTGTTTACACCATATTTTGACTAAATCCATCATCCACACTGACACAGATCATTTGAGATTAATTATTTGTTCTCAATCTTCTGGCTTTTAGTTTTTAGAGACAATTTTGTCCGGTTGCGATAAATACAAAACGGTTCAAACTGGGTGATCAAAATTGCAATTTTCCAATTCAATGTAAAGCTTTTGTCCGACAAGCTCTGAACTCGAACAAAGTTGACCTAAGGTGTGAGTTAGGATCACCTTGCTAAATTTTAACTCTGGATTTAAACACGAAATTTAGTGGTTAATAATTTTACAATGCTGAAAGTTTACAGACGATGCATGACGATTCGCGAGTGAGGAACCTGCTTTTGTTCAACTGTTAGAAAATTTGAAGAACATTTCACAGTAATTCCACGGATTCGTAGCTCCATGAACACGAATCCAACATTAAAGGCACGTGTTTCAGATTCGTGATATTTCTGGAATCTTCCGCTCTACTCGTATCAATGGGGAATCAAATCTCAGCCCACTATAAAATTGAAAGAAAATCCCAGGGCAGGTTGCTCATCTATGTGATGACTTTTGAACACAATTCTGCGTTTAATTGTCCTCTTTAGAATTAGTTTTGCCGAGAAAAAGGTGTATTACTGACTTACAATAGCAGAAACATGACCTCATTGGAGTCATTGAGCCATAAGTCGGTTAAATTCAGTTTTTCTTGATCTTTTTAAGACAAATTCTCTATAAAAAAATACTATGCAGCTATTCTTAAAGTTATTGCACTCTGAAATGTGCAACTACAAATGTCTTTATAATGTACGTGGGTTCTCCCATTCACATTTTTGTGTCTTTCATTTCCAGTCTCAGTAACCCAAATCCCGTTTTCCCATTCCAAATATAGGCAAATCTCAGTTCTCATTTACCCCTTGAAGACGCGCTATCTCTTATACCGATATTTTTCTCTGTCTGCATGTTTGGGGCCTGTAGATTTAGATTATACTGTACCTGTTTTCTATTGCCTTCTTAGTGTCGTTCACTTCATCCAAATTTTCGACTTCAATCTTCAATCCTTCAACTTCAATTCCACTCTGGGAGAATTCCTCCTGCAAGCGTTTCTTCATGCTTTCTGACTCGTAATCCGTCCAGACTTCCAGAAATCTTTCGTCGGTAAAACATCGCAGTTTAACATGAAGGGATCCGGGTCGTATTTCATCAATGCCTAAGGGATGGAACGAGGAAAGTCAATTATGATTTGAACGCTCTTATCCGGAAACCTATCTCTCTAGTGCAAACGGTTAACCTAACCGAATAGTCGAATCCGGGAACTTTATATCGAATCCGAAATCTTTTGCCCAGTGCAAACGAGGGCATATTACTTAGCACATGTCATTCATATCAATCTATTCAATCGATTCCTTCAATAGGCTATTGTTTGATTATAATTTCACTTGTGTCACGTGTGAGGAGAGTGTCTCCATTTTGATTTTAGCTAACATGTAATCACACTGGTCCAATTAACAATAAGACAACGATGCCATGAGCGACGAAATGACTATAGAGCGTTTGCACTCATTACCCAAGGACCAACTCAAAAAAAGCCATGGTTGCCATGTTGGTGTTCAAGACAAAAGAGTCCAATTAAAATTCTTTTGAATTGGAACACCAACATGGCGGCTGTGACGTTATGTGCAAACGCTCTATTCGCCACAGACAACCCGGCCGAGTTGTCAAATTGTTTTAGTATACACTCCTACTCAAAATACAAAGGCCAAGCACACATGGAAAGATTGAAATATTAAAATTTTAAAAGCATGCACGAGCGTTACGTTTGAATGATTTCTTTCAACCTTCGCGTGCTTCATTTGCGACTTTTTTGGTTTATTCTTTGCAAACAACGCGGCGAAACGTTTTTACCAATACAAACCTCGTGAACTTTGGAAATATTTTGAAACGGGCTGTGTATAACATGCAGACATGATATTAAGGGAAAATACAAGCGACGTTATGGAAATTAGAATTTACGATGTTTTCAAACTGTAAATAATATGGTTTCCCAAAATGCTGC